TAGTATGTATAGGTCTCTAAAAGAGGCCACAAGCCCTTATTCTTATCCTCCTAATTACCTTCAAGGTGCTACAACCCATATGGGATTTGTGCACCTTCTTTCTTAGAAATACTACACTAGCTACTCATCCTATTTTCTACTAATAAAACCAAATATTTTGTATTTTTGAATTCACCATGGTATTTAAAAATACTCAATTAGCTTAGAAGCCTTGAGTGGCATTCAAATCTTGCTCCATTTTTTTTATAATGACTCCCAACGTGATAAAACTCATTTTTATCAAAGTCTTAAAAATTGTTCTAAATTTTCTAAATAAAATTTAAAAATCTTATAATAGTTCTATTATTCTAATTTTAGTTTATAATTATAATTTTATATCTTTAAATTTTTTTTAGTAATAAAATCATTTTAAATCTACTATAAATCCTATTTATTTGTATAAATAACTAAAAAGACACAAGGTTTTTTTTCATGCTTCTTTTAACTACTAACTGATATTTATAAAAATTTTATAAGTAATATATATATATATATATATATATATAGATTTAAGGCTAATATTAATATTCATCTTAATAAATAATCCTTAATATTCAATAACAAGTAAAAAATACTAAATCAATTAAGATAATTGCCTCCAAGACTTATCAAGACTCTATTTTTACAATTAACATTTTAATTTTTTATTTTTCTAAGGATTTTTAGACTACTCATTATATATTATAATTTGAAGCACTTTAAATACATATTTTTATTCTAAAATAATTAATAAGTTGATTTGATGATTCACAAAGATATTTAATAAGTTTTTTCAACCCTCAATAGTATCACATGCTAGAAAGAAAAGATTATCTAGGCATTTCATCATTGTTGAGGTCTTTATCACTTCTTTTACAAAAAAAAATTAGAATAAAATTAAAATTAGTTTCTAATAATAAAATATTTTTCTAATAATATCATTAAATATTAAGACTCTTTTTTTCTATCATGATATTAATTGAATTATATTTTGCTATCTATTTATAAAAGACCATTTCTTTTAGCCTTTATTTCCATTATATTATCTTAAATGTTGTAATAATTATATTGTGATATTTGATAACTTAAAAAAAAATTGTTCTTAAGTTGAATGTATTGGTTCTTGATTCTCCGTATTTTTAGTGCTATAAATACAAAAATTTCTAACATTGATAGAATATAAAATATAATCTTTATTAAAATTATTTTTCTTTATAGGATAGATTTTCTTAACTTTTCATCTTAATTTTAATGGATGTTTTTAATAAAAAAAAAATTAACCTTCTCTATTGCATTTACAAGATTTGTAAATGGATCCCATAAGAATTTGTTAATATCATATCCACCCCAATGTACAAGAATTTTTAATCTCTTTTAGCATTGCCTTAAATCTAAAACTTCTTTCATCTCAATTTTTTTTTTTTATTGTCCATTTTTATAAGAAGAAGTGACATTTTTTATCTTTAAAAATATTCACTATTTTATATGGCTTAAGAAGAGATATATGGAATACATAATAAATCTTCATAGATTCTAATAAATATAATTATTATGCAATTAGATTGATTTGTATATATATATATATATATATATATATGTGAAATGGTCCAAGTCTATGATATTCCAACTTCTAAAAAGAGTGATTAGTCTTAATATTACAGTAGAGTAACTATATCTTATTGTCAACTTAAAATTGAGGTTGTAATTTGTAAGAAATATTTGCATTGATCTTTTTTTTGTTCTTGAGTTTCTTTTAATTGTGCCTTTATTATTGCATGTAGCTTTAATAAATCATTTTTTAAATATTTTGTTACAAGATTAGCAATTTTTTAATATCAAAAGTATCAAATTGATAATAATAATCATAATTTATGTAAAAAAATGACTATTGAGTAGATAAATATATTATATTATTATAAAAAAAAAAATTAAGATAAAAGAGTTGTCTAATCATCTTCAAAATAATTAATGATATATCTTAAATACTACTTCAAAACTTGATTTTTTTTTTAATTTATTAATCTAAAGTTAAAAAGTCAAAGATATTTTTATATCTATCTTTAATATTTTAAAAGCGATTCTTTAAAATTTGATATAAATTAGATTCTTCTATTAGATATGATATTTCTTGGTAATCCATAATAACGGTAAATATTATAATAAAAAATTTTAGCTATTTCTTCACTTGTTAGATTTTTTATATGGTATAAAATATGCCATCTTAGTAAAATAAAATACTAATATAATTATAGAATTATAAAACTTAGCATTAAAAGATCTATGATAAAATCCATAGAAATAAAACATTATAGATGTTTTGATATAAGTAAATGTTAGAAAAGTCTCTAAGATAATTGTCAATGAGTTTTTGATCTTGAGCAAATATCATATGATTGTACAAAGTCTTTAACAACTTTCTACATTTAAGATCACTAAAAATCTTTTGAGATTAATTCCAAGGTCTTGTTATATCTTAAATATTTATTAATTGAAAAGTTGTAATAAGCTTGAACAACTTGTAATTATAATTTATTTTCTTGAACATATAAGTATTTTTAAAAAATAGAATATATTATTTTTAAATTCAAATTTAAAAATATCAAATAATTTAAAGAGATTTTTTAAAACCAGTCATAAAAAGATTTGAAAAAATATTTAATTAAAAATGATTAAAAAATATTGAATCAATAGTCAAAATTATTTCTATTGCTAAAAGATAAATTTACTTTAATTCTAATAGTATAATTTTTTGTTGATTAAAAATTATATAAATTTTTTTAGGTAAAAAATGAAAATATATAAATAGAACATCTGATAAATTATATTATTTTTTTAGGAAATAAAAAATATTCATTTTAAATCTTAACAAAGATATTTTTCAATGGATTTGCTACTAATTCAAAACTGCTTGTTGATATAAAATACTTAAGGTTCTTATGATTTATATAAACAACCACTAGATTTCAAGCATCTTTTAGGTAATGATTCCATTCTTAAAATAAATCCATAATTACAAAAAAATATTTGTATTAAATCTTATAGTTAATTTTGATTGTTAAAAGTTTTTTTGAATATAAAGCTATAAGACAAAGTTTGTTATCTACTCTCATTCATATCAATATTACATCTAAGACAAAGTCCAATGCATTTATTTCTATAAAAAATACCTTAAAAAAATTAACGCAATATAAGATTAGAGCAAAAGTGAAAATTGTCTTGAAGGATTTAAGTCTTGTTTTAATTTTTTTTATTCCACTCAAGTTTGCCTTTATAAATCAAATGTATAAGTAGAGCTACAACTTCAAAGAAAAAAAAAAATTGATAAAAATTTGATAGTAATTGCTAAATTTTTATAAGCATTAAATGTCTTTATTATTTTTAAAATCTTCTAATCCATGATAGTTTGAATTTTCTTAAGATCCATCCTAAGGCCAAAATTTGAAATAATGTATTGTAAAAAGTTAATTTGATTTATATGAAATAAATTCTTTTCAATCTTTTATTGGACATTATAAGGATTTGATTATTTTTTAATTAGGATTTTGATTAAGATTTAATTAGACTTTTGATTATATTTTAATTTAAACTTACTTATGATTTTAATAGAATTTTGTTAGGATTCTATTGAGATTTTTTTAGGATTTTGTTAAGATTATAGTATGGTTTGTTTAGGGCTACATTTAGATTTGGTTAGGATTTTGCTAGGATTTTTTAAAGATTTGTTAGAATTTTATTATGATTTGTTTAGGGCTACATTAAGATTTGGTTAGAATTTACTTAAAATTTATTTTGGATTTATTTAAGATTTTTATTTTTAGTATTTTTAAAGGATATTTTATTATTTCTTTAAGGTTTTTATTTTTGAATTTATCTAAGCTTATTTTTTTATTTCTTTAAGATTTTTATTTTAGTATTTATTTAAGATTTTTTTTAAGGTTAATTTGTGACTTCTTTTGGATTGATTAAATTTTTTTTAGGCTTCTTAAGGTTTAATTAAAATTTATTCAAGGTTCTATTAGACTTATTAGAATCTTGTTGTTACATTTTCTATTTACCTTCCATAGTTAAATGCCCAATATATTTTGAAGCTAGAATTCACATTATATAATATTATACCTATTTCTTCTTATTTTTATATATTAATAGTATCCAAGTAATTATTTGAGTTAATATGTATATCCATGATATTTTGTATATATAATATAATATTTATTTTTTTCTAATTTTTCTAAAAATTAATGTTTAAAGTTTTGTAAGAAAAATAAAATAAAATAAAATAAAAGAAGTAAAGCTTATAAAAACTTATTTGATTGATTCATAGTATCATTTAATTTCTTATTATTTAAGATACTATTGGTCTATTATTTACTTGATATTATCATTAAATAAAATAAATATTTTATTTTTATAAAAAGAATATTGATTATATTTTGTTGAGTTATGAAATTTTACTACTTATCTTATGTTTTTGAATCTTCTTTATGTAACACTAATATGATTCATCTTAGATAATTCTATTCAAAATGAAATACCTGTGGAATTATTTGACCCAATATCACGTATAATTTTGTATGATGAATTATAAAGCTTTTCCTAGATAAATCAGTTGAAATTATTTATTTTAAATGTGCGAAGAGAAGATTAATATTCAATAATTATTCAAATTGTGTCATTTAGTGTTAAATTTTGATGACTATAAAAAGTGTTTAAGTTTTGATCATGGAAGAAAACATACATAAAACTAATATCTTGTGAGAGAATATGATTCCAATTAATACTATCTCTCATTACGCTCATTACTAATTACACCTTTGTACATTAATGGATGTGTGACATTGATCATAATTTTCTCTTCAATTGTAGCCACACGAGGCCCTACAATCTAGTTCTCTTGTTACATAAACAGAAGCATTTGAGAATTTGATCACAGATGATTCTAATCAAATAGTTATAAATCATGTATACCTTGCCTACACCTTCCACAATTGCAATTTACATTCCATGTTATTTTGTACCCCAAAAAGAATGTTGAATTGTGAGGTGTTCTTATACACAGCCTTCACAGAGCCTGTGGAACTGGATCGGTGGTTAATTCAACCACAGAGAATAATAATGAATGTAGCGTCGGAGTTGAGAAAAGACACCCGGTAGCAGCTCGTTCCCGGAAACAGGGCCGAGAGCGATGCTGGTGTGCACGAACACGTAAAAAAACTGGAGAAGTCTCTACAAGTCCAACGCTAAACTAACTCAACCTTAATGAACTCGAAGTGAGAAAAATATTTTTTACATAACTATACCCCTCAAACTATCATTACCACCAATCATACATCTTGCAAACTTCGTGAGTGTTGTATCTCAATCACCAATGGGGCAAAAGTATGCCAGCATGATGTGTCGACGAGACATGAAACGTCAGTGAAGTGGGTTGCCGAGATTTGACATCCGGTTTGCTTGACAGAGACCTGCTGAAGAGTAACTTCCTGCGTAACTCGGTGCTATGCAGCCGAGAAAAAAAGGCCTATTATCGATCCGCAGGGTTCCTCTGGTCTAGTCCCATGGCATGTAAGTGTCCTCCCGCGTGTCACAGACTTGATCTGTCAATGATGCGTAGGACTGAACTTACAATTAAAACTACGCCGATCAGCCGATTGAATTAAGAAATTCACAATTGGCAGGATCAGAGAAGATACGTGTGTAACGTAAAAAAGAAATTTAAAAGTACGTGGTTTGTATGATGTACAAGGTGGACTTCACGGACGAGCTTTCTGCAAGGGCCTGGCTGAGTTATGCGGTTGGAAAAATGGAGTCGCGGGAGCTTGGCATATCCTGCGCTCCCTCGAATGTATGCTAAGATTTCAAAATCGTTGCCGTGTCTGCTGAACCTCCCGAAGAAAAGCCGGTAGGATTCAATGGGTGGACCAAAAGGGGGACTTTAACCCTGGTAGAATCTCAAATTCACAAACCACCAGTCTATTAGTCTCCTGATATCAATACTAGTCCTCCACATGTGAAGACGTTGGAATACTTGGTTTTATCGCTGTACAAATTCATGATTCACCGGCAGGATGGAATTGCGATGTAAGTGGTGAGCGCTGGATTACGCCAAGGGTGTGAACCCAAGAGAAGAGAAGATGGCGACGAGGACATGACGGAGACCGGGCTGATTGCCTCGGCCAACAATGTGAAGCATACCCTCCGCCGGTAGGAACTGCTTCTGCTGATACCGATAGATACCAAGAACTTCCTCAAGCCCACTCATATTCACAAAGCACTTGTAGTAGACGCAATCTTTGTCCTTCACCCCTTTGATGAATAGATTCTGCAGATCGAGATCGATCCTACTGGACCCTACGATCTGGATGCTGGTTCGGTACTTCTGCGCAGACTGGTTCTCCTTCGTTCTAGATTGCTTGGTAAATGAGAGCAAGCTTCCAGAGACTGCAGCCACATTAGCCACCACAAGATCGTCGTACGTAACTAAAATAGTGTCTTGCGCCTCCTCCCATCCCCAACTTCCCTTCTCAATTTTCACACGTCCAGTCTGCAGTACCATCAGATGTGCCAGTTAGCTCTTTTTCAGGGTCAATGCGGTCCTTTGTCACACCTAATGAGTGAATGTGCGGTGAATCTTGTAAAACACAGTACCTGGAGTGTTTGGGAAAAGCCACGGTCGTTGCTTTCAATCTTGGCACTCATGGCAACGTCCTTCGAGAACCATGAGCGAGGGTAGGAGAGCTCCACATTATATGCGGATTTTCCATCCAACTCCACTAAAGGAATTCGGACGTGCCTCTTCTTGAGCAACCTATCGGCGACATTGTCAATCGGCACCCGGTAAGTGGTTACACCAAATGATGGTCGCTCTTCCCTAGACGAAATACACCTGCGGTGATCGTCACTCTGTACAAGACACCGATACAAAGTCACCTGTTCTGCAGGTCTGGTGGAAGCGCACATACTGAAAGGATTGGACCATCATAAGTTCAAAGTCGATGCATGAGTTCCAATACTTCATTTACCGTTTCATACTTTTCGCACAATCTGACTGTTTGGTTGTAGAATCGGCACGCATACTCGCTTATCTTCATTGCAGACTTGTGGACGCCGTGATTGGAATTCGGCAACTGCAGGTAACAAAGTTTTTCCATGAACGCGAATGCCCTAGTAGAGTATAGCATAATGTCCTCCAACACCTCCTGGTACCTGCAAAGATTGGGAAGTCCGAGAATGATTTGGAGAATCTCGTGCAGTCCCACAAGCGTGGATAAAAGCTCATGACTCTCTTCTTTGTACAGTGAGGAGACGCACTGGAAATGCTTGCATTTGTCAATCAGAGAATTGACCGTCTTTGAAGCTGTGTAATCGATGGCCAAGGTGTAGTCCTGAGGTGTGGAAGGGCGCCGGCGGTGTAGCCCCAGCGGGTAGTCCTCCTCTTCATCTTCTGCATACAGAGGACTCTCTTGCAACAGCTTCGTGCTATTGACAGCCCGCAATTGCTCCGCGTGCTCATACGACGCCCTCACCTCAGGTTTTAAGCCCACGTCGCTACATGCACACAAAGAATTCAGTTAAATCCCAACTATTGTCGGCGTCACTTCACGATCCATCGTAACAGTCTTTTGAATCTTACATCTGGAGAATTACTAACTCAAGAAAAAGAAGAATATATCCTCAGATGCTTGCAGTCCACAGCATCACTCCGTTAGTCATCCCTGAGGTATGCGAGAATCATTAAGGGGCGGTCGTGACACAGAAACTACCTCGAAAAAGAACACGAATAAGCACAGAACGATTACAACTGTCCCTCAGACTTAATCACTTTGCAAAGCTGCTGTAAGCACCTGAAGAGCTTCATTTTTTCAGCATGTTCGGAGACCTTCATCTTGTGCTACACTCGACGTTTCCTCGTGAGGCTCACAATTCTGGCACACCGAAGGAGCCGAATAACTCGCATTCACGGCCACCAAAACCCAACCCTTGAGCTGAAACCCAACCTACCGTGCAGGATCAAATTAACGAGAAAATGGCCTTAACGAGGTTGTGCGCTGCACCTCAAGAACGACACCAGAGGGTTCTTTGCTTAAGTACCAGTGGGATGCTTACTGGTGTGGTTGTAGATGAAGCGAGAATCCGGTGTCCAGCCGTACACAGCGGAAAGTACCAGTCGACATGACCACATTGGCGAACAATGCTTTCTCTAGAAGAGGTGATGGGAAAAGGACTCCAACTCCCAGACGAAGTTTATAAATGCGAACAGACAAATTTTGTTTGGTCACTCCTCCCCGAAGCTATGCACCTTCCATAGCATCCCATTTTTACATCCCCAGGATTGTTACTCTCGTAAATTACCACATCACCTCGCGAAAGTCACCAGATAGACCGTAATTTGCAGCTTACTTTCTCGGTTAGACTCAAACTACCAGTTAAACGGACATTAGTTGGAGCTTTAACTTTGTTAAGTGCATAGTTGAACTGTTTTAATTCCAGACTTGCATTCAAAGACACACCAAATTTGGAGAAGACACGGATGCCCTCCCCAGCTCGGAAGTTATGTGTGCCTTCATAAACATGCACTGTTCATAACATTTTCAAAAATAGTTAACAAACGTGATTCATTCGGTGGGCAAATGTTATAACTTACCCAGTCTCTGTTCAAACTTCATATTATGATGCTTAATATAGCTACATTATCATCCAAAAATGTAGTGCAGCTGGTATTCAGACCCACGGGCTTGAACCAACGCATGAGTTTAGCTGAAGGTTGCGATGCAGTCTGTAAGTCTGATTGGGGTATAGTGCCCACGGATATCATTCGACAAATTCACAAACGGCGTGCACCCCATGAAACGCATTGGATGTGGTGCGCCAGCATTAAACATACAAAAGCAGCACTAGACAGATTTGCGTCTGGTTGGAAAAAGAAAATGCTGAAAAGGAGAAACAAACATTATTACGGAGCCGGTGCTTCTCTCATCAATTTAAAGCTCTTTATCTTCACTAAGATGCAGGATCAAACGAAACGTGGCCAAGTCACTTCGGTCATAGATTCAAAGTGTCACAATTAGATTCAACGCCTGTCATGCGCAGCCAATAAAAGAGCAACACATCTGCGGTGCAAGCCTGACAGAGAGAGAAGGTTCAAGATCCACGGCAAGTAGTCCGCCGGACGCCATTTTAAGAGATAACGTGCGAAGCCAGTGAATCCTATTTTCGGGATGGTGCACAGCAAGCTCTGGCATTCTCTTTCACGGCGGCCCTGAGCTCCGGCCTCGCAATCTCCTGGGCACTGGTGGGTGCAGGCAGACAACGTTTTTTCTTTTCAGCCTTTGACGATGCAACGTAGTTTCGGATCCCCACGGCACGCCAGCTCCGAGATAAGCCCTAATGCTCCTGATGGTTTTGAACTCGCTACATTTGGACTCCATAAGTGCAGCATGCTTAGGGAACTCGCTACCCCCCCTTTCCTTGGGCGATGAGAGAATCTGTCTATTTGTGTGACCGTACGTCTTAGCCATCCCTTGGCATTTGCAGTCCTTTCATCTTGATTTCACAGAGCAGGTACCCACCTCACGCTCTAACCTTTTTTACTTCATGCACCACTCATTCTTGTGGTTTAATAAAGATGAATGTTAGGTAGTTGAGTCAAATTTTGTTGATAGTTAAATCATAAGCAACCAAATGTTGGACTGTCTTAAAATATTGACAGTAGAGGTTCAAGTTTGAGGGTTTAGGGTTAATAAATAAATAAATAAATAAATAAACACATACATATACACATGCACACAAAATGATTTAGGCAATTGGACAAGATTGAAGGTTTAGGATTTATTGAAATGTTTTCATACATTGAACCATTTGGATTTTTTGTTTATCTAATACCGTATACTAATTAGGTACCTATTTCTTTATGGCCTTTCTTCCATGTTATCTCAGCTCATACTTTTTATTGGAATGCAAGACTTACTTAAATAAATTAAAATAAAATAAAAAACAAAAAAAATCAATTGATGACCTCTACAAAAGAAATTGAATTACATGATAACATTCAATATTATTTTCTATAGATGTTTAGGTCAAGAGATTCTTATAAGAGTATATAGATTTAATTCTTTGTAGTGATAAGTACTAGAATCCAAATTAATTGACAGTATATCATGCTTAATAATTTCATTATGACATTATTTATTATATTGTGTTACAAACATACAAACAATAGTGAAGATAACAAGAGTTAGGTGAAAGTAATTACAAGTACGTAAATTTGATAATATCTTATTGAAAAGCTTCTTATAAGTTTATAAATGTAGATTTTACTTTCTAAGTCTTTGTAGCTGATTAATAGGTTGAAAACTTAACCAACAAGTTTATTGTGTATTACACATATTGATCACTTGGTTTATAAGTTAGCCACAATTGCACATGTTGGCTACTTATATAAGAAGTAAGTTATGTGGTCGACATGTTGGAAACTTCTCTAATAAGTTAGACACATGTCCCTTAAGTTGAATATGTATTGGATGACCTATAAAATATAGCTATGTAGCTCCTTAATTAGATAGTATATATAAAGACAAGATTAATACCTTCTTTCTTCTTATCAATATTTTTTTTGTATTCTTGTCTTAGCTCAAGAATCTCTAATTTCTTTGTATTTGGCAACAATCATTCTAGTTTCTATCTTATTTCTATCTTTAATGTATTTACTTTTTTTCTTTGAGTATCACAAACATATATATATATATATTTTTTTTTTCATTCATATCTTTGATATTTTGGTTCTTTTTCTTAAATTACAATCTAAAATATACACCTTTAAAATTTCTAGACTTGCTCACATTCTTCATATGATAAATACATTCTTTAGATATTCCACTTCCATACTACTTAATGCAAAGATTGATTCTTAGTGGTCTCTTATCAACTCCCTTAAATGACTCAATCAAAAATTAAATAATATTTTTTTAATACTCACAAAATTTTATTTTAAAAACTATATAATAATAAATATTTTTATTATTTACATAATTATGGATCTATTAAATGATTACTACAAGGTCATCATTAGGTTTGTATACTTTATTATTGTGTAATAAATCAAATTTCTAATTTAAAAAAAATGATATTTTAAAAAATAGATATAGTAATTAATAGATATATATATATATATATATATATATATATAAAATAAACATAAACATAAAAAATTTACTTTTTATTTTTTTTTTAATCACCAGAACTTTTTATAGAAGAAAAGTTTGATGTAAATGAAGAATAATCATAAGCAACACAATTATCAAAATATAAAATCACATAATATTATTTATATAATTTATGAAGTGGTTTTTTAATCTTATATAAATTAACTCCTAAATTTTCATTCAAAATTTGTATGTGTATGTATCTATTATATGATAGAAGATAATATTACATGTGCAAGAGTGTTGTAGCTGATTTTTTGAAAAAGTCATGTTCCAATGTTTTTTGTTGAATTTTTCCTAAAATTCAAAGAAAATAGTGAATTTTTTCATTAGAGCTTCGAAAATAATCCTTTTTGACAAGTATTTAAATTATAAGATAATTGGAAAAATATTATTATTTTTATATAATGTATTGAAAACTTTCAGGTTTAAGAAATAAGAATGAGTCATTTATGTACCATTTTTGTGTATCATTGTGGTTACTGTTTTTGTACGAACAACAATAGATGAACTTTAGAACATAGATAGAAAGTTGTTTATTTCCAAAAAAGAATTGAATCAAGTTCTACAATGTATTTTATGGATTTATCAAATAAAAATTTATCTTATTATTATAATAAATTGATTTTATTTATAAGAATAATTAAAAATATAAAAACGATATTGCAAATCAACAAATAATTCTTATATTTCTAGTATAAACTTAAAACGATTGTGCTGTTTATAAAGTACAAAACAATGTAATTTAATTTGGTTAATATAATTTAATAAAAAATCTAAAATTATATTTCGTACAAAATATCAAATGCAAAATAAATAAACTCATTAATCCAACTCCACTTAAAATTTTCTTTGGTCTAAGACTAACTAAACAAAAAATCTAGTAGAATATAATATATATATATATATATATATATTCATACACATGTATACTAGCAAAAACTTGTGTTTTTGGTGACTAATAAATCTTTTATGTCTTTATTTTATATCTAATTTTTTTTATTTTATATATATATATATATATATGATTTTATTAGTTTATTTATTTATTTAAAATTTAAAAAATATATAATATTAGATTTCTACTATAAATATTATATATTAATAGATAAAAAATTATCCTTGTAGTAATAAAATTTAAGAACTAAAATTTTAGAAAAATATAAAAAAAAAGAATGTAAATAAAACTTGTATTTACAAATGAATGAAATTTGATACTAAAATCAATAATAAAATCAAAGTAGATATATTGAAAGAAATAAAAAAATAAAGTATAAATAAATGTTTATCCAATTTTTTGTTCTATCATGAATATAATCAACATTAATAATTACTTAAATAAAAATAAATGTATAATATGATATATTTTGAAAAAACTTCTTTAAAACTTTATAGACGTAGGTTTGACTTCATACGTATCTTTTGATGACTAATAAGTTGAAAACTTAGCCAATAAGTTGGCCGAATATTACTTATATTAGCCACTTTTAATACAAGTTGATCTAGAGGCACACATATAGAATTTTGTCTTGCAAGTTAGACATGTATTATGCAAGTTGGACATGTGTTGAAGGTTCTATATAAAGTTGTCATAAAGCTCTTAGTTTGATAGTATATATGGAGGCAAAAGAGAGACAAATATCAAAACAACCATGATCCTTTGTTTTTATAGAATTTATCAAGGATATTCTAATCTCTAGTTCTTATAATTTTATATTGTGACAATAGAGCATTTTACCAAAATGGTACATTTTGAATTATATACAAAATCTATTACAAGTAAAGAAACAACTCAATATTTTCTTAATAATATTTATTGTTATTATGGATTGCCAAAGAATTTAATTTCAAATAGAAGTATTTAATTTCAAATAAGAAAACTTAATTTATATTCAAGTTTTAAAAAACTATTTTTAAGATATTAAAGGTGGACTTAACTTTGACTTTTAATCTTCAAATTGATGAATTAATAGAATAAGTAAATAAAATATTGAAGCAATATTTG